TTGATGTTGGGTTGTTTAGAATTTTTTGGTCTTCATTCAACTTTGGTAATTCATACATATCTAGGAATCTGTCCATTTCTTCTGTGTTTTCCATCTCACTGGTGTATAGGTTCTCAAAGTAGGTATCGATGATCCTCTGGATTTCTTCTGGTCCATTGTAATTTCACTCTTTCATTCCTAATTGCATGGATTTGGGCCTTTTCTTTCCTTTTTTTGATAAGGTTGGGTAAGGGTTTGTCAATTTTGTTGATTCTTTCAAAGAACCAACTCTTTGCTTCATTGATTTTTTTTTTTATCATTGTCTTAGTCTCCATTGCATTGATCTCTCCTCTGATCTTTATAATTTCCTCCCTTGTGTGAGCTTTGGCTTTGTCCTCCTCCTCTTTTTCTAGAAGTTTGAGGTTCAGGTTCAGCATCATGTTGTTTATTTGAGCTCGCTGTTTTGCTGATATGAGTATTTACTGGTATCAATTTCCCTCATAAGCCTGGTTTCATTATGTCCCATAGATTCTGATATGTTGTATTGACATTGTCATTTAATTGTAGAAACTCTCTGATTTCTTCTTTAATTTCCTCTGTGGGCTATTGGTTATTCAGAAGTGTGTGGTTCAATTTCCATGTGTTTATTAAATTCTTGTGGTTTCTTTTGCTATTGATTTCCAATTTCATTGCATTATGGTCTGATAATGTACAGGGGATAACTTCAACTCTTTTGCACTTACTTAAACATGTTCTATGAGCAAGTATGTGATCTATTTTGGAGAACCTCCTGTGTGCAGCTGAAAAGAATGTGTATTCTGATTTTGTGGGGTGGAAGACTACTCTGTAAACATCTGTTAAGTTCATTTGTTCAGTAGTTTGATTGAGTTCTAGTATTTTATTGTTTATTTTCTGTCTAGTTGATCTATCTATTTGTGACAGTGTGGTATTGAGATCTGCCACTACTATTAGTGCTTATTTGAGTTTTCATGTCCATTAGTATTTGTTTTATATGGTTGGGCACACTAGTATTTGGTGCATATATGTTTATGATTGTCATCTCTTCCTCTTGTATTTTTCCTTTTATAAGGATGCAGTATTCTTATTTGTCCCTCTTAGTCAGTGTTGGTTTGAAATCCACTTGATCTGCAGAGGATAGCTACTCCTTTTTATGGGTTCCTGTCACATGGAGTATTGTTTTCCACCCTTTAACTTTCAGTCTATGAGTTTCATTTTGAATTAAGTGTGTTTTTTATATGCAGCATATTGTTGGACCTTGCTTCTTGACCCATTCTGCCAGTCTATTTATTTTGTTTGGTGAATTGAGACCATTAAAATTAATGGTTATAACTGATATGTATTGACTTTCCTTGTGATGACTTTTTCTTTTTTTTCTTTTTTTTTGGGGGGGGTGGGTACCAGGGATTGAACTCAAGACCTTGTGCTTGTGAGGCAGGCAGTGGCACCACTGAGTGAAATCCCTGGCCCATGACTTTTTCTTTTGTTGGATTCTCCCACTTTGCATTTAATTTCTTGTTGTCCCTGAAAGATTCATTCTGCTGGGCTTCCTGTGAACCTCATTTTCTTTTTCTAGGATATTAAAAATTTTAAATTAAAAAAAAATTTTTGGAGTGCTGGTTTGGGATTCATGAAGTTCCTCAGGTGCTCTTTCTCATGAAAGTATCTTATTTCTCCATCCATTTTGAAAGAGAGTTTTGCAGGGTACATCAATCTGGGTTGGAGGCTGTTTTCTTTTAGGGCTTGAAATATGTCACTCCGAGCTCTTCTTTCCTTGAGCATTTGTGTTGAGAAGCCTGCTGTGATTCTGATGTGAAGGAGTTGTCTCCAGACATATGAACTCTGGTTGAACCTGTGCACGTGCTTTACTCGCTGTTTTTGGGAAGATCTAGTAACATGAGGTTAAAGATAACCTCCTGGGTTCACTCATGCAGGATCCCAGATGTTTACTGATCTTGGTAGATGAGTTCTTCCTATTCCCATGAGAACTCTGTTAATAGTTTAGAAACGCACTGTTCTGACATGTAGGGGAATGTACACACTCCCTATTTCTAATTACTTAAAAACTGGCTGAGAAAAATTAAGTTTGTCTTAGCTCCTTGAAGCTCTGACCCCTTGTGCCTCGCTGTTTTGTGTCTTTTCTAAGTAAGACCCTCTCCCTTTGGGACCCCTGACAGCTGCCGCCCAACGCGGGGCTCGAAGGTCATGAAGCCTGATTGAAAGATGATTGGATTTTGCTGTGAGAGATGAATCAGAGGGGGACTTATCCTATTGTAATAGGGGATTTAGATTATTATTATAATAGGGTCATGGGGCAACTCCATAATAAAAATACTACTTTTATGTTGTTACATCATTTGTTGAAAGGAAATGGTGCTCATGTTTCCTGAACTTGTATAGCTGCTTGTTTAGACACTGTTGTGGAACATAATCCTTGGTTTCCAGATGAAGGGTCTTTGGATCTTGATACCCAGGTGAGGGTTAAGCAAAATGTTCAGAAAGCTTTTACACAGTGAGAACGGATACCCGTGGATTTCTGGCCAATCTGGGCATTAGTTCCAGCTGTCATGGAGCTGCTGCAAGAAAGTGAAACTAAAGCAAAACGGGACATTCATCGTGTTGCTGAGGCTTTGCTAAGTTGGAAGGGCAAAAGATATTTCCCTTGTCAGTAGAAGAGAAAGGCAAACCAAGCTTCTCAAGTGTTCCTCTTCCACCTGTTCCTACTGCCCCAGATGTGTCTCTTATTGACTTTGAGGAGGCACCTCAATCTTTTTGCTTGGAAGATGTACAGGAAGTATTACAACCTCAAAGACCTCAGGCTTTGTTGCATATGGAGAGGGCTTTACAAAAGTGTACTGACCCAGAGATAAGGCTGGCTTTTCCTATATAGTATAAACAACACCCCCTCCGCTTATGAGACTTTAGATTATCAGGTGGTTAAGGAATTGAAAAGGGCTGCGTCTACATATGGGCCTACAGCCCCTTATACTCTAGACTCGCTATGGGCTTGGCCCGCCTCAGCAGACTGGATCCCACATGATTGGAACATGGTTTCTCATGCTTGTCTTGGGGCAAATGACTATTTGCAGTTTCACATGTGGTTGGTTGAGGGAGCTCGTATTCAAGCCTGTATGAATGCGGCTGCAGGAGTGCCGATGGCAGTAATTACTTTTATTTTGAACCGGGGATCGAACTTGGGTCCTTGCACTTGCACAGCAGGTGGCAAAACCACTGGGCTAAATCCCCAGCCCAGTAATTGTTTTTGATATGTTGACGGGCACAGGAAGATATCAGGATTTAAATACACAGTTACAAATAACCCAAGGGACTATTCAACAGATAAAGGAAGTAAGCCTCAAAGCTTGGGAAAAATTAACACCCTCAGGTGAAGTAGGTCAAAGTTATGTGAAAATATTTCAGGGACCCTCTGAACCTTGTCCAGATTTTATTGCAAAATTACAACGGTCTATAGACAGTCAAGAGAGTCACCTGGCTGCTCCTGAGGCTTTATCATGACAACTTGCTTTTGAAAATGCAAACATAGACTGTCAGGATGCAATTCGTCCACACAGGGATGCAGGAACTGTTTTTGATTACATGAAATTATGCCATAATATTGGCACACGTTCTCATAAGGCTCACATGCTGGCTTTGGCTGTGGGTGCTATGCAGGTGAAAGATGTACCAAACCAAAGGGGGTGTGTTTGAAGTGTGGAAAGGCTGGTCATCATCAAAAGGACTGTTGTGGCCCTAAGAAACAGACCAATGAGTTCCCTAACCCAAAAGAGACATGTAAGCCTGGTCACTGTCCCCACTGCAAAAAAAGATATCATTGGGCAAAAAGTGTCATTCTAAATTTGATGCATAGGGGAGCTCACTTGGACCAAATCAGGGAAACAGGATACGGGGACAGCCTTGGGCCCCTGACAAACAACCAGGGCCTGGAGTGTGCAAATCAATTCCCCTCAACCAATACAAAGTGTTGCCGCCGCCCCTCAGTTTTATCACTCAGTTTTATCAAAGTCAACCCTGGGCAAGGTAGGGTACGAGTCCCTACAAGGGTTTTTAGCCCTCTGCCAGAATCAACAGTGGGACTCATTTTGGGGGTGTTGCAGCTTAAATATGAAATGGATTCAAGTTGTTCCTGGTGTAATAGATTCAGATTATACAGGTGAAATTCAAGAAGGGGTGAAAACCTGTGTTCCTTGGACGTTTCATCCTGGGGACAAAATCGCTCAGTTTCTTCTACTCCCTTTTTGCCCTATAGGATCTTCTACAGTAGAAAGGAGGGGAGGATTTGGCAGTACAGATTTTTAAAAAATGGTTAATTGGGCTGGGGATTTAGCTCAGTGGTTTCTCCACCTGCTGCGCAAGCGCAAGGACCCGAGTTTGATCTCCGGTACCAAAAAAAAAAAGGTTAATTGGGCTACTCAAATGCAACAGAATGATTGGCCTCTTATGGAAATTTTGATACAAAGAAAGAAATTCCCTGGAATAGTCAATTCAGAGGCAGATGTGACTGTTATCAGTAAATAACAGTGGCCTGACTTAAATGAGTGGGTCCTGATGGCCAGCAAGGCACAATAAAGCCAATGGTGATTTCTGTCCCAGTTAGTTTATGAGGAGGAGACATTCTTCAACGATGGGGTGCCAGTTTGATCATCCCTTCTAATTATTCTGTTCAAGCATCACAAATGATGCCCCATATGGGATATACACCAGGGAAAGGCTTGGGGAAAAAATGAAGATGATATTACATAACCTATTGCTGTTTGTCATAAAAATGATAGAAAAGGTTTGCGGTGTTATTTTTAGGAGGGGCCACTGCCCAAATTAAACCAATTCCTCTGCCATGTATTTCTGATGAGCCTGTTTGGATTGAGCAGTGGCCCCTGAAAAAAGACAGATTGGAGGCTCTACACTCCTTAGTACAAAAACAATTAAAACTGGGACATATTGAGACTTCTTTTTCACATTGGAATTCCCCTGTATTTGTTATACAGAAGAAATCTGGAAAATGAAGAATGCTTACTGATCTCCGGGAGGTAAACAGATGGATTCAGCTGATGGGGGCCTTACAACCTGGTCTCCCGTCCCCTACTATGATACCTAAGGAATGGGATATAATCATTATAGATCTTCAAGGTTGTTTTTATACTATTCCTTTACATTCTAAAGATTGTGAACACTTTGCTTTGACTATTCCCTCTGTTAATCAGACTGCTCCTGCTCAGAGATATCAATAAAAAGTTCTACCTCAAGGGATGTTAAATTTCACCCACCACGTGTCAGTACTATGTTGGAAAGGTTATACAACCTGTTCATGAACAATTTCCTTCTGCTTATGTTATTCACTATATGGATGATATTTTTTTAGCAATGTCACAGGAGTTGAGTGCTTTTAAAGTTTTGCAACAACTTTCTGATCATGATTTACTTATTGCAAACTGTTCCTACTTATAAACTCTTCCTACTTATAAATATTTGGGATATTTCTTAGACAAACAGTAAAACCTCAAAGTGTTCAAATTATAAGTGATATTCTTAAAACATTAAATGATTTTCAAAAACTCCTGGGGGACATAAATTGGGTCCGTCCAATTCTTGGCATGACCACTTACTCGCTAATGCATTTGTTTAGCACTCTACAGGGAGATTCTGCCTTAGCCCACGATCATTATCTTTTGAAGCTGAGACAGAACTTCAATTTGTGAAGCAACACCTTGAAGATGCTTTTGTCTCCCTCACTGATCTTTCTTTACCCATGTCATTACTTATGCTTGCTACTCCCTATTTGCCAACAAATATTATCACACAAGATTCTCCTATTGAATGGGTTCACCTCTGTCATAATCCTTCAAAATCTTTGTCTCCATATTTAGATCTAATATGCACTCTAATCTTTCAAGGTCGACATAGATATCAATAAAAAGTTCTACCTCAAGGGATGTTAAATTTCACCCACCATGTGTCAGTACTATGTTGGAAAGGTTATACATCAACTGAGAGGGTTCAATCCAGATGTTATTATTTTGCCAGTTACTCCTGAATTATTTAAACAGTGCTTAGAAAATAGCATGGAAGAACAGTCCGCCTTGGCAGAATATGTGGGACAAATCGGGTGCCACTATCCAGCTGGCAAACTTTGGGAATTTTTGAAACAGACTCAATGGATTTTTACCAACATGGTCCAAGATGACCCTATACCAGCTGCTACTACTTATTTTATTGGTGGTTCAAAAGATAAGGTCACTGCCATATGGAGTGAACCCTGGTTTAAAACATTACAGACTTCCTTTGCTTCTGCTCAACAAAATGAGTTGTATGCCTTGATTTATCTTTTTAAAAAGATTATATGTCCTATTAATATTGTCTCTGATTCTAAATATGTAGATCATGTTTTAAAGACTATAGAAACTGCATATACCTTAAACATACTGCCAAATCAGAAGTGATTCATGATATGTTCCTTCAGTTGCAAGCCTTGGTCTGAGCTCACACTCATCCTATTTTTATAACTCATATTACAGCACAGTCCAACCTCCCTTGTCCCTTTGTTTATGGAAATGCTCAAGCAGATAAATTGACAAGGGTTTTATGGATTGATTCTCCTAAACAAGAGCATGCACAGTTCTATAATAATGCTTCTAGTTTACACCAATGGCGGACTCTTCCCATGAATCAAGCATGTAAAATAGTTAGAAATTGTCCTGTGTGTAAACCTTTACATGCAATAGAGGGCTCACCGGGTGTGAACCCCCGAAGATTTCAACCTAATGATTTTTGGCAAATGGATGTTACTCACGTCCCATCTTTCCGATGGTATGCTTATGTACGTGTTTGTATTGATAATTATTCGCGTTTTATATGGGCTATTCCCGCTCTGGCGAGAAGGCTTCTGATATTATTCAACTTCTGCTGGAATGTTTTTTGGTGATGGGTGTCCTTCCAAGATAAAAACAGACAATGCCTCATCTTAGCAAAAGGCTTCAGCTTTTCTTTTTTGATTGGAATATAGAACATGTTACTGGTATACCCTATAACCCCCAGGGACAGGCTATGGTTGAACGAGCTCATCAGACACTAAAATTACAACTACAAAAAAATAATAAATAAAGGGAAACAACACCTAGAACTCATTTAGCAATTGCACTTTTTACCCTTAATTTAAAAAATTTACCTCAGGATGATATTCTCATGCAAGGAAAAAAACATTTCTCCGTCTACACAAGAAAAACAAAGACCTGTCCTTTATAAAGACATAGATAATCAAGGGAAATCGTGATTATTGATCACCTCTGGTAGAGGTTATGGTTGTGTTGTTGCAGATGGATCCAGTGTGCAATTATGGCTTCCTCTTCGGAAAATCATACCCGGATGTGCCTGAGATTGGGATGCCAAATCCATCCGGATTGATGACAGCTCTTCCTCCAACCACTTCCAAACCTCTGATGCAGGAGATGGCTGCCTTGCCATTAAAAAATAAGAGAAAGAGAAAGCGAACAGCAACTACAACCTCTCCGACATGGGGGCAGGTAAAACATCTGTCACAGTGAGCCACGCGCATACTACAAACAAAATCTACCAATACTCCACAAAATTTGTTCTTGACTATGATGGCTGCCATGGCCTGTGCTTCAGCAGTGAGTGCCGATAGTAATCATTCTTTTGTTTATTGAGCTTTCATTCCTTACCCACCCTTGCTGCAGATTGTCAATTGGACTGAAAATGCTCCAATGGTTTATATTAATGATACTATTCATGCCCCGGCTTCATGGGGAAACGGACTTTCAGAACACTCAGAAGAGGAAGGTCAAGAACTAAACTCTTTGGGATGTGAGACTGCCTTTGTGAGTGTGGCTCTGTGTGTTTGAAAGCACATATGCAGCTCTGAGCGTACATTCTTCCAGTGAACAAGGGAACAAGGACTTTGATGGGACTGATTTCAGAACTAACGTTCATGGAAAACGAATAAAATACCCCTGACTCTTGGGAGGAGGGGACAGACTCAGAATGTCAAATGATTTCGTATAAACATTGTTTTCTCACCAGGGGTTGTGGACCTCATGGAACAATCACATACTTAAATAATCATACTGTGACTGGGAACCCCATGGTAAATTTCTTAACAGTTGTTCTGATGATGTCAATAAGACTGTGATTATATTACTGAGGTAGTCTGGAATAGTATATGGTGGGGTGAACAATATTCTGTGTCTACTACACATCAAGGACTAATGGCTCGGCACAAGGGAGGGCTGGCACCCCCATGGCCCAAGATTGCTCAACAAGGAAGGAGTTCCACAAGGTCCAGAACAATGGGAACTGTGGAAACTGCCATTAGTGAATCAAAAAATGACAACCTGGAAAGGCAATTTTTCAGGATTGAAATATTCCATGTCTGATTACTGGTTTACTTATAATTGTTCCATTTATTTAGCAGGATGTATTAAGTTACTCTTCGTTCTCGCTGTGGGGAATTCACAATTTAATGAGACTTTAAGGAGTGTTGAATGTACTGGGTGCAAACTATATACATGTTAGAATACCAGTCTAAATATTAATTTGACCCAAAAGAGTATTTTGATTTTAAAAGCTAGAAAACACATTTGGCTGCCTGTAAATTTGACTTGGCCATGGGAAGAAAGTCGTGTACAGGATTAATGATTATTGGAGAGGGTTTAATCAGGAGCCATTATGGGAAGGGGTTAAATTAAGACTGAACCACAGAACAACTAAGAACAACTTCACTGCAGGGTCTCCAGCATTACTTTATCACAATGCCTGGGTAAGACAGCTGTGAAGAGGGTGCAAGCTAGACATAGACACCCCCCCTTCCCCCAAGAAGCTTAAGCTCAGGCTAGGAAGGACAGAGGGCCCCGCCCTCTGTGGTAAGAAGCCAGGTCCTATGAAAGTGGTTTTCAGAGGCTGTGGGAACTGAGCGTGCTGGCATTAAGTCCAGCACTGTGCTTGACCCCTGCCACACTGCCTAATCTGGCACAGACTAATAATTTGATGGATTCCCTCATCTACCAAAATGAACAAGAAGATGCTTCAGGTTGGGTGGTTGTCAAAGTCTGTGGTGTATGGACAGAGGAGCCTCTGGAGCAGGGCAAATCCACAGGCCATAAAGCTAGGAGAAAACTAACTTGCTGAATTCCAAGACTGCAGGTCCTGGAAAGAAACTACTCATTGAAAAACAGAGGAATTTTTTTCTTTGGACTTATTTTTTTCTTTTTTTCCCCTTCATTATTTTTTGGGAGCTTGGGGTTTCTTCTTCTTCTTTTTTTTTTTTTT